TGGGTGCATCTTAAAAGTGGCTCACCCCTATAACTTTTCAAAATTCTTATATTAATATATGACATAAATTAAGATTGATTTATGTATTCAATTATTTTCGGTCACTTCCTGTTTCATCGGAAATGACTACAACTTTTAATCTTAAAAATGGCACCGTTGGTATTTTATTACTTTATTCGATAGGAAATGACACTCTGAATAGAATGACATATCATATGTCAAGTTTTAAACGTTTTCTCTTAAGAAAAGATCGTATTTTAAATTTCAATCTAGAGTGCCATGGCTGTTATCATCACGTTTTATAATCAAGAATCCTTGGAAAAATAAATTTGATCGTCTAATGTTTTTATTGTCTTGTCTTTGTCCGTTAAAAGATGCCCAAATTGTATTTTTAATCATATTTCAACTTTTTCAAATAGAACGAGAGTGGCTCATTGGCATATTTGGAAAAAGCATTTTTTACGAATAATTTTGTACCACACACTTGGTATTTCGAGTTAAATTGTCATTATGAACGCATATTACAATTTCAAATAAACTGCATTCGAAAATGTTAAAACTTGACATATGATGTGTTATTCTATTACAGAGTATTATTTTCTATCGAATAAAGTAAAATAATACCGAAGATGCCCTTTAAATATCAAAAATTGTAGTCATTTTCCATGAAACAGAAAACAATTGAATACGTCAATCAGTCATAATTTATGTCATATATTAACTTACCAAATCTCTTTTTTTATATGAAATAATAAAATAGTTTTAGGGGTAAGCCACATTTGAGACCCGGTATAAGAAGATGTAAACGACCGCAACAACTAGGGATCAATTCTGGTCTTCTCGAGTTAGAGGTCAGACACACTTACCCCTGTATAATGGCCGGTCATTACGAATTACTACATTGGAAATGGGACTACTTTTTATACACTAGTCCTTAATTAGTTATTTAAACGTTCATATAATATAATTAAATTGTCTCCTAACTATCATAATGTCTTAATATAAATGTTGAGTTGTTTAATAAAATAAAGCAATCACGAAATATTGTTTATTATTGCTTCAGCACATCGTTAAACAGGTTATTAAACAGATTTTTTTTATTAGAAACACTAACAATACACTTATTAGCAATTTAAAAGATAAAACATTCCACATTTACTCTATTATTAAGATAAGTACTAAGACAGACCTATAATTAACTCATTATCGATATTACGAATTGCCAATATAATGAAACGTGTATTGCAAGTAAGTAATATTTTCATTTAATTAAGATATCAGACAGTGAAGGTATATTTCTCTCTATACATAGACCTTTCAGATAATTATATATTTTTAAGTAGTTTTCACCATACTTTAATTAGGTTTTGTCCAAGAAATTATTACAATAGCATTCAACAATTATTTAAATTAAACTAGCTTCGGAATGGAATTTATAATAGATCATCCACTTATTCAAAGCAGGGATTTATAGGCAATATAAACAAAGCAACTAGTCAAAGTAATGTACGTGAGCTGTTGTATAGTATGTTGACTGATTGTCGTGCGAAACACAGATAGTCTTCTTTTTACACGAATCGAAGATTTGAACGAAGGAATTCATGATTAGGGAAAAAACAAATAAAGCCTTGCTAGAAAATCACTCCAGGTCAAATATAAACCAAAAAGTTAAGAGGCATCTCAATTAAAAAAAATAACTTAAGGTACGTTGAAGACCTCTTGACATGGTACTATCCGCTTAGATACCTTATGATAAAAAAAAAACGAATATACGTGGAGACAGTAGATAATTTCTGTTGCAAGGTTACTTCCAAAATCTCAGGGTACCTTATACGTATATGTCACAATCCTGCAAGAAGGTCCTATGTCCTGAAAAGAGGGAAAAGCTAACGCCTCTATAGTTTAACATGAGAAAAATAGCTTGGAGTTACTGATGCTTCCAAAACCAAAGCTTGGACAGGGATAGGAGTATTTAGTATTTGGGCCGAAAACTAAATAATCCGAACCAATGGGCACCTATCCCGATATCCTTCAGGCAGAAATTTACGCTATCGAAAGATTCGTACAATTTATCTTAGATAGGAACTATCGAAAACAGGAAATTGCCATCCTATCCGATAGTCAAGATATAGATTACATTGCTCCTTACAAAAATCACTTAGACTTTTTCTTGAAAATAATTGTATATGACAATTATGCATTAATTTTTATTAGAATGTAATAGACATAAAGTGAATTGAGACGTGCAATCAGTAATTGAAATGGATAGAAAAAATACGATAAAATATCGATCAAAATCTGCCCGACGAGAGTAGAATAGTATAATGATCAAGCGTACCTTGCATAGTTTTTAAGAAAAAAATTATTACAATTCTCTAAATTGAGGAAGTCAAAGTTCTCTCGATCATAATACGACGTTTTGATCATACGGTACTTTTGGAAAAGTAACGAAAGTTATATTGTCATAGAAACAGTCAAACTTATATTAAACGATTATTTCTTTAATGCTTCTTGCTCATATTCTAGTCACTGAAAGAAATATAGTTTCTAACTCACAACCAACAAGAAAGTGTTTGCTCATTCGGATATAATTAGAGTTAACATGTGTTAGATATCCTATAGAATTGTGCATCTATATAGTCGAAGGTTTCTCTAACAGTAGGATGATTTAATATAAATCAGTCCACAAAAACTGTGTTACGTAAGAATACGAAGAATATTTATTATTCAATAAGAAACCCTGGTAGAAATCGGAAGTGGAATTCATCATCTGAAGTGGTAACGATCATCTGAAGTGGGATTTCTTTGCGAAGTGTTTCAGATTTTACCGCAGTGAATTCTTGTACTTTTTAGCAACATTAGTGCAGTAATTATGTCATGACTTCAAAGGAAAAATTACTTTACATCTAGTTTATCTGACTCCACTACAACAACTTGTTCAACATGCTCGTTTTCATCGTCTAGGAGCTATAAGAGATCAATATGTTAAAACTGAAGTGGAGGCCGCTCTAGTAGTACATATTAATGATTAAACTGCATATTTAAAAAATAATCAGGGTGATTTCAAACTAGTGAGCCTGTACTCACCAACATTTGAAGTCTACCGAGCAATAACGATAACAGAACACTAGTAAACTAGTGGATACGTTTAAAGGTCTTTTTGAATCAATTAAAGTGCTATTGAATGAACGATACAAGGTAAAAGACGAAATCGATGCTACAAGATTAAATATTTCTTGAGAAACGGCATCTTGAACATATTAATCCATTCAAACTAAGATTTACTAGATTATTTTACTAGATTTACCAACAGCAGCAATGGAGGTCATTCTAGACCTAATACCACTGCACATTGTCGTCGGTAGTTATGCCAATGCGACAATGATTAGAGTGGTCATTGACGGAAACAGTATTGGGAGAATTTTCAGGTCAGGGGCTTGGAACACCCTCAAAAAGAAAATTCCACTTCTCCAACTCCCAGTGGATGACATACCAAGAATTTACAATTTTGAGAAACACCTCACTGTAGTATTGAGTAATAAAAGGGATTGGGGGAAGGAAGAAACGCAACGAATTACTGTGGTATACTGATGCTTCCACAACCAAAGCTTGGACAGAGATAGGAGTATTTAGTATTTGGGCCGAAAACTAAATACTCCGAACCAATGGGCACCTATCCCGATATCCTTCAGGCAGGAATTTACGCTATCGAAAGATTCGTACAATTTATCTTAGATAGGAACTATCGAAAACAGGAAATTGCCATCCTATCCGATAGTCAAGCAGCATTAAACGCGATCAGTAACCATCAATTCGAAGTTGGTCAAAGAATGACTAGAGAAGCCCAACAAATTAGGCAACGAAAATAACAACAAGAAGTGAAATGATAGAAGCAAATGACCTAGCTAGGAAAGGAGCGAACACTCCACTAACTGGACCAGAACCGTTCTGTTTTCCAAACGAGAAACAACTGAAAGCGGAACTAAAGAATCTGGAAGACTCCATCCGTAACTTGGAATGGGTGTCCTCCAACGGTCTAAGACACTCGAAAAAGTTCCTCAGAACTTACCACCGAGAAAAATCAAAGGTTTTCCTTGATTTAAGTAAAAACAATCTTTGGATTGTCACGGGGTTTCTAACAGGATACTGTCTCCTCAACGAACACCTCAGTAGGCTGAAGCTGAGAAACAACGGCGAATGCAGATTCTGTGGGGAAAATGGGGAAACACCAGAACACCTTATCACTGAGTGCACCGAAATGACGACCATTCGTGCCATGAACGAACGATGAATGAAGTTTGGTACAGCTGATGTCGAGGATGGAGAGCTGGCCTCTGTAAAGCCGTCTCAGATACTGGCTTTTGTTATAGCCTTGAGACTGATGATGAGTTACAACTCGTTATAACTCAAGAAAGGGGGACACACAATAGGGTGCGTTTATGTTGGAACGGCGATAAACGATAAGAGCAGCGATAGTAGCGAAGCAAAGAATATTATTATATTAATTTATATGTAGGTGTTTATGCTGAAGCAACGCGTCGAGACACGGTTGGCAGTTGAGCAACAATAAGAGCAGCGCTAATTCACTGCTTTTATCGTTTATCGCAGCTCCAACATAAACGTACCCATAGGTCTATAAGGTCGCGGTGATTAACTCCCCTCCTAACCATTCTACATTCTACTAGATTAGTAATAAGTCGAATTCAAATTCAAATTTAAGTAAATATAGAGCCGGCCTATGTTCAGAGTCAGTCCACAAACACTGAGTTACGTAAGAATATGAAAAATATTCATTATTTAATAAGAAACTGTGGTAGAGATCAGTTGTTGCTATAACATACTTATTTTCTTCTAAAGAAAATTATTATTTTAGAAATCCTTACACTTGGTAACTTTTGTATCTTTATGAGTATACTATTGAATTTGTGTTTAATGTTTATTAGACTTGGTATTATTTATCGAAGTATAAAAAAATCTAATACCAATATTTCTTATTTCAGATTACCGTCCTGTTCGCAATAGAGTTACTAGAAAATACAAGAAGAAAACTGACTTTTTCTGAACTTACCCGATCTACAAAAAATACAGTTTTTGCTTGTACTGCAAAGTTTTTCAGTGCAGTGCCGGTGATATGGGCCCCTCTATAATGGGGCCCAATAGTATACTGCCGTGTGTATTAGTCTGGTTTCTGTCGTTTGGAGTTTTGGGCCGACAGGAACAAGAATCACAACAGGCAGGCAGCAAATATAGAGGTAAGTTTTTTTTATAAATATTTTTATGAGACATTTGAGAGGAATGTCATTAAACTGTTTAGCTCTGTTTAAAGTTTAGCATCGGCCTTAAATGCCCTCCTCGGCTTATTATTATTTCGTAAAACTACACTACTCGCAAAATCGACGAGAATAATAGTGGAGGAATGTGACTCTTTTTTTGAGTGACTCGGAGGTCTTTTGAATTAATGTGAAAAAGTTCGTCCTTAATTTTCTGTTATAGGTACTTATAAATGCGTGTTCAAAGGAATCTTGTGGAATATATATCAACTTAAAGAGATGTAATTTAATATTTTAGAAATGTCTAGGTTTACGTATTTCCCTGAGATTTATGAAAAAAGTTCTTTGACTCTGGCTCAAAAACCGACACAAAATTGAAGATTTTCAAGTCGGAACCATATTGAACGAGACAACATGAGACAACATTGTTATTCTGTTTCGCGAGTAGTGTAGGGACGTTTTCCGAAATAAAAATAGGTAGGCGAGACAAAGTGAGACGAGGAAATACGAAATAACTAAGGTCATACCGAGATCTCGGTCTCGGTTACACTCATTCTCGGCTAAAAATCAGGCCGAGATTTCGGTCTCGTTCGCGGCATAAAAAGGCCGAGATTATCGACCACGGCCGAGACTGGTCACGATCGTCAAACTGACTTATTTTTGAGCGTATCGCTCTACCTATCGATACGTGGATGAATGAAATACTCGTCCGAAGTCGAATGGATTATAATAATATATATTATGATACCGAGAATGGATCATAATAATATCTGATCCATATAGATGTGATCTGACCGAATCACGAAGGGGACTTCCCGGACGGCTGAAGAATCTTCTTCGTATTTCAATGCGGAAACAATGTACGATGCTAGTTGCTAGTGTCTTATTAATGTAATTTTTATAAATTTAACTGAATTGTGCTTTTATATAAATTACTCGTATATCCTACTAGAAGTAATTTTTTTATGTAATTATTCGCGTCCATACAGAGTTCCGAAACCAGCAGCTTATAAATTTATAGTCTGCACCACCAACAAACGTCTCTAACAAACAACTATTTAGAAAGAATATGATGAAACACTGCATAATTTGAAAGGATGCAATGCTGAAAAATTACTTTTTTAGCCTATAACATAGACTAAAAAAAAGAATTTTATAGTACTAAATCCCTAATAAAACCGTTTGCATGAAAATAACGTTTTTATTACATTATTATCAGATGTTTTTCATATAATAAACTATTAAATAAATATTGCATCGTGTCTAGGTCTCGGTCTCGTTCTCGACCGAGAATTTCTCTCTGGTCTCGGTCTCGGTCTTGGCCGAGACTAAAACCCAGGTTCGGTTGGACCTTAGAAATTACTATCTTTACTCTTCGACTTCGGCCAATCTTGGAAAGAACCTTTTTAATGAATGAACCGACGCCTTATTTTCATTCAAACTAAACTCTTCGCTTTTTCGCCGGACGTTGTTTGCGAGTATTAATTCGATGTTTATTTTTAAAATTTGTCTACCGGCTTAAAACGCGCGATAATCACAACAAAGTATTCTCGAACCATTTATTTCATTAAAAACTCGGAGAAAATAAGATAACAAGTTTATAAAAAAACTCCGTGAGCGGACTAAGTGCACCAACGTCAGCGGTTTTAGAATAGACATTGAAAATATAGCGCGGTCGCTTGAAAAAACACTGGAAATGTTCTATTTTGTACTGGAATTCTAGATATTTTGTTTGTAATTTATTTCTTTGTCGGTGTGGTGATGTGTTTATAAATATGGATTTAAGAGGTTTACTCATGCAAATATTTCATAGTCCTCAGTTTAAAATCATCTATATAACATATGTCCAAAATTATTGTATATGAATGTTTGGTAATTTCAAAAGATGTTCCACTAAATATTAATTTATAAAGTTTATCATGATTTGGTCTCAAAAGTTTGAAGTTGTTTCTGTATTCTTAAATTACTAAATGTAATAAATAATAAAAAAATGATTTATAAACTTTAAAAATGAAAAATAAATTCAAAGTGTAAAAACAAAAAAAATAAGAAAACGATTGAAATGCCTCTATTTCCTCCTCGAGCATTTATGCACTCTCTCAGACGGTTTCGCATGCTACCTATCGGATTATCTAAGTAGTATAGGTCTGTGAAATTTGTTCCCATTCTTCGATTGATGAAATTCTTAATTCTCGTAATGTGGGTTATTTCGTTTCTTTATTCGTGATTTTATAGAACCCTTAATATTAATATTAAGGTCTACCTCAATTGTTGTTTTCAACATTTGTTGTTTTTCCATTTAAATAACACGGAAATTTTTATTTTTTATTTTTGAATATTGATAATTTCGAAATGGTTTGTTTCCGCAACATCCTCGCGAGAAGATTTATAGGAAATTTTACGCTCTACAAAAAACATCTGTAGTTCAAAGTTTCTCAGATCAACCGTCTCAGAGATATCAGCGATAAAAAATACCACCATTCTAAATTTAATATTAAAAACTACAAAAAGATATCATACGCGATATTTATATAATTTTTCCTGAAAAATTACTTCAATTCTGTTAACCTATATATCTGTAATCATTTTTTTTTGTTAATTTACTCAACACGTACCTCACAACATGCACAAATATACTAAGGGTCGGTATTTCTGGTCTTGGGTGCCGGTTTTCATGTGTACGAAGAGTACGGTCAACACGCTTAGTAAAATAGGATGTATTGAATAAAGCCAGAAGGCGAGTATTTTCCCAAGCGCATGGAATCTAGCGTCAGATTAAGTAGTTATGTAATAAATACTTCGTATTTTTGCTTACTCCGACTTACTAGATTGCCATAACGACTCACTCCTATACATGTAAACGCCGACCCAAAGGTTCGCTTGCCAGCAGGGTATAAATATTATTTAAAATTATATAAGAGTTTCTTGCCTTGAACTGCTAATATAGAAATTAATTCCACGCTGTGTTCGACATAATGTGGATCAACCTGCTCTCACTACCAGTTTCGGGTCCCTACCCCATCATCAGGTGAGCTTGGGTATTTCCACAATATGTCGAGCACAGCGCAGAAATACATATATAAACACGACTTGTCGTAAAGTAGCGGTAAGATATTAAGTCCCGCATCGCGAGATAGCGGCCTGCGTGCAATGGTAGTACTTTCGTACCACCGAGGCACAACTATCGAAAGTAAATAAAGGCTTTCTTTCGGCTAGCCCAAATTATATATGGAAAATAAATTTCTTGCAGTTTTTAGGTATATAATAAAATTATATAAGAGTTTTTTGCCTTGAACTGCTAATATAGAAATTAATTCCACGCTGTGTTCGACATAATGTGGATCAACCTGCTCTCACTACCGGTTTCGGGGCCCTACCCCCTCATCAGGTGAGCTTGGGTATTTCCACAATATGTCGAGCACAGCGCAGAGTAAATGCGGGACTTAATATCTTACCGCTACTTTACGACAAGTCCTGTTTATATACTCTGCGCTGTGCTTGACATATTGTGGAAATACCCAAGCTCACCTGATGATGGGGTAGGGCCCCGAAACCGGTAGTGAGAGCAGGTTGTTCCACATTATGTCGAACACAGCGTGGAACTAGTTTCTATATTAGCAGTTCAAGGCAAGAAACTCTTATATAATTTTATTATATACCTAAAAACTGCAAGAAATTTATTTTCCATTATATAATTTGGGCTAGCCGAAAAAATCCTTTATTTACTTTCGATAGTTGTGCCTCAGTGGTACGAAAGTACTACCATTGCACGCAGGCCGCTATCTCGCGATGCGGGACTTAATATCTTACCGCTACTTTACGACAAGTCGTGTTTATATACTCTGCGCTGTGCTCGACATATTGTGGAAATACCCAAGCTCATCTGATGATGGGGTAGGGCCCCGAAACCGGTAGTGAGAGCAGGTTGATCCACATTATGTCGAACACAGCGTGGAATTAATTTCTATATTAGCAGTTCAAGGCAAGAAACTCTTATATAATTTTATTATATATCTAAAAACTGCAAGAAATTTATTTTCCATTAAATAATATTTAATAATGCACAATTTTTTAAAAACAAAATTTAACAAAAACAAAAAATTAACAAAATAAATAGATTACAGTCATAGATTAACAGAATTGAAGTGATTTTACAGGAAAAATATTACATAAATATCGAGTATGATATTTTTTTTAGTTTTATTAGAAAATATTTGAAATTTTCGAATGGTGTTATTTTTGATCGCTGATATTTTGAAATGGTTGAACTTTGACCTCAGATGTTTTTTGTAGAGCGTGAAATTTCCTATAAACTTTCTCGCGAGGATGTTGCGGAAACAAACCATTCCGAAGTTATTAAAATTCAAAAATAAAAAAGAAAAATTTCCGTGTTATTTAAATGGAAAAACAACAAATAAATTGTGGTAAACCTTAATATTAATATTAAGGGTTCTCCTAGGCGCCAAAATTTTTTTTTTAAATGTACTTTCAACTTTTCAACACCATAATAAAAAAAATATATTTTTTTTATTTTGAAACACCCTAGTAAATATTACCATTATTCCTTCCTGAAACCTTAATGCATAACAATTTGATTTTATTACAAAAACTTTATAAATTTCTGCAGTGATAAATCCAAATTAACAGAATAAGATAAGATCAACAGAAACGAAAAAATTATCAACTGTTTGAAAAGCATGGAAGGAAGATTTAAGTATTACTCCGCTCATAGATCTGCTGGTTTTTGATTGGCTGAAAAATTTGCATACCAAAGTTCCTTAATTGGAGTTTAATCAGGATAATCGATGCATAAACTTGTCAATGTATAAAAAGAAGAAATTTGATATGTTAATTGCAAAAACGTATAAATAATCCACTGCTCTAATCTGCAGTGCACGATCTTTAACCATATATTTGCTTTAAATATAATCCGTGCTGATTGAGTGACAATGAAGGTAAGATATCTGATTATTATACACCTG